TTCTAATTGCAGGTGGTAAGAAGGAATCTTTCTCTGCTGCCATTTCCACCAACAGTGACACAAAGGGTGGCTACCTACAATAGGCATCACAACAGCCTACCTGCTCTCATGGCCAAGTCATTTTCAGCTCTGGTTGGGCAAGGACCAAGGGAACCAGGTCTTGACGACTCCCTGGAAAAGCCTTGAAGCATAAGATTTAGACAAGGCAGCTGGTGTGCACACAGCACAGCCTGCCAGACCTACTGAAACCACATGAAGGAAGACTGGAGGGAGGCCAACTGGAGGTCAGAGGAAAGGAGGAAGCTGAGGCTTGAGGTGGGGGGTGTTAAAATCTGGCAAGGAATGCAAAGCATATAGATGCAAAGAGGGTGAAGACCAGGGACATCATCTACAGCTAACTGTACTACGAGAGGCAGAGGCGACTGAGTTCTGCATCAGGAACGTAGCAAGGAGGGAGGAAGGAGTGGACTGTGGTAATGGGTGAGGCTGGTCCAGGTGTGGGAGCAAGGATGTGGAAAAGGAGGAGCACAAGGTCTAAATGAAGGCTGCAAAACCATCTGCGCATCAGACCAGTGTGAACAATGATAGTATGAAAGATGGGGACTGGAAAACCCTGGCTATTTCCCAAGTCCTAAGCTCACTTACTGAAGACAGCCTCTCAGCAATGGATAGTGAGGGGGATAAAACATGGCAAAGAGCCAACCCGAGGGTGCCTGAGACTGCTGGGGGCACGGAGAAGGATGGATTCACCTCGCTTTCTTTCTCACCTTCATTTGTTCTGTCCTGCACCCAGGACACAACTGACCTGTAGAACAGGTTTAATTAGCAGATGTACTGTTCAAAGAGCTGCGGCAGAACGAATTTACAAATTAGCATCAGTCAAAGTAGAAATTCCTCCATTTCCCCCTCCAGCCCCCAGAGCTACTGCCAGACTCTCTGCACAACCCCAGGAGCGTGCAGTGTCCTGGGGAGACCTGCGCTGGGGATTCCTCTGTCAGGGTCGTGCTGATGAAGAGAGAAATGACTCACCCAAATAAATGAGTGAGAGCTTGAGGTACTTGGCAGCCCCTGCACTGAAGCTCCTGCCAATCAGCTTCCTCTTAATTAGCAAGACCATAGAGCCACTTCACCCTGAACACAGCTATCTTCCTTGACAAACTTCCTTGTCCCATGGGCTCAGCCACACTGCCCAATTTTCCCACTGGCATAGGCTTACTTTCCCACTTGAGGCTGGAACATTGCAACAACCAATCTGGGTAAGAAATGGACTGGTCTGGATCTTTACCCAATAGTTTAAACAAGCCTTCCCACAAATTTAAATAAATTGGGTGAACTTAACTTTCGCTTGACTTCTGCATTTTCACACCCTTCAGCTATTTGCAACTTTTGGCTGGAAGGGGAGGCACAGAAATGCTTAGAGCAGGGGCGTCCAACCTTTTTTGAATGTGGGGCAGGATCATGAACTTTTTATCACCCAGTGGGCCGGCAGGAGCTGGTGCTCATGCGGCCAGTCCAGTCTGGCCGCAGCCTGGGGGCGCAAGGGTCAAGGGGTGCCGCCTGACCCCGCCATGTCCTCCCTGCCACCTGGGAAGCCTCGAGGATGCTCCCACACCTGGGCTCAGCAGCCAGGGGGACATGTGGGTGCAGGATGTGCAGGGACACCCCTCTGCTCCCTCTCCCCCAGGGCAGCCTGAGCCCGAGCCCAAGCGGCAGGGTTCCCTCCCTCCCCAGGGCCCACTACTCACCACCCCCGGCGCGATGTCTGCAGGCACGGGGGGATGCAGGGAGGCGGGAGCAGCGCCGGCTTCCTGCCCCAACAGCCACAGCAGCAGCAGTAGCATCTCCTGCAGGCCCAGCCGCAGCATCCGTCCGAGCCGGCATCCGCGCGCCCTGTGCCCGCCTGCCCACTGCACTGCGACCTGCTCCAGCCCACGCGGCCGGCAGGGACTGGCACAGGGCGGGGCCGGCATACAAATGAGGAAGGGAGGGGCGGGGCTAGGAACAGAAACCCTGCAATGTGGGAGAGGGGAGGAGCTGGCATGCAAATGAGGAAGGGAGGGGTGGGGCGAGGAAAGGGCACCGTGAAATGAGGGGGGAGGGGAGGGGCCGCACCATGTCGGCAACGTCAAGCTGACGCGGTGCGTGTGGGAACCTTGTCCCTTCCCCAGCCCTTCAGCAGCCATTAGGAAGCTGCTGAGGAGCTGGGGGAGGGACAAGGGGTGGGAACGAAAGCAAACGGCGTTTACTTTCGTTTCCCGTCGCAGCACCGCAGGCCACAGAAAATGGCTTGGCGGGCCACATGGCGGCCCACGGGCCATATGTTGGACAAGCCTGGCTTAGACAGTTCTCTCGTTTTTTTTACAACTTTTCTCTAAACTTCTGCTGGACTGGGAACCACAGGGAATCTCATGAGAAAATCTGAGCACTTCTACCCTGATTTCCAGATTAGAGACACTAGAAAAAATGCAGAAATGCTTTGTATCCCACTAAGTCTCCAGGCTCCATGAGTTTTGTCTGTCGCTACCAATAACCATCAGCCTCCAAACTAGAAGGCTTAAGACAGCTCTATTGTGTAGAACTAGCCGTAGACGTTGTGAGACTCATGCTTGGTAGAAGGGTCAAGCACCCCTAAATCACTGGGACTTTCAAGTCACAGCTGAAGAAATCACAGAAAACACAGCTCACACAGCACTGAAGGCAAGAGAAACTGTCAGCAGCCTGTAACAGTAGCTGCTCGGCTATTCACAACAGAAATGCAAGGCAAAATGTCTTAGAGTCCCTCGGTCGCTTCTGGAAAGTAGTTAGCATTGCCTCAAACTTTGCAAAAGTACAGCAAGACTGAGCAGCTAATCCACATAGATGATGGTGCCATCAGTGTAGGTGCCAGCAGCAGAAGGGTTAATATTAGTTTGGTCCAATCCCATTGCAGCCAAAGAAAACCTTTAAGAAGAGTCCTTAAGCCTGGTTGCAGCCAAACCAGCTTCCATCGTGTTTGGTCTGACTTAGGTGAACGGTGCCAAACCACATTTAAAAAGCAAAGTAAAATCAAATATGCTTTTAGCCGGGGGACAGGCCCTTGGTCTGTACCTTTTCTGCAAATGTGCTTCAGCTAGTGCTATTCACACTATTTGTGTTTATAAAGGAAAATGACAGTGCTGAAGTCAAGAGATTTATGGGCAAGACGTCTGCCTCTCTCACTTCCAAGCTAATCTCATAAATCATCATGTTGGCCTCTTCAAGGACAGCCATTCGCTAGCCCTTCAGATCAGGGCCAAAATGAGCACTGCACTGAAATAGCTACTTGCCAAAACAAGAGAGGAGCAATTTGGTTTCTTTTATTGGCAGGTCTCATTTCAACCTCCCCAGATGTTTCCCAAACACAGGAACAGAGGAGAATAGGCCTGACAGGGACTTCATGGGACATCATGCCCAGTTCCCCGCTATCGCGAGCAGCTACAGCACATAAAACCATTTCACAAAAGCTTTTCTTTTAAGGAAAGAAGGACAGGAGAATAGAGGAGCGCAAAGCCTTCAGTAAAATAATTGCAAAATTAGGCAATTTTTCCTCTCTTTTTCCTTTGGGCTGATTCCTTCCTTGGTCCCCATGCCCACATTGTCAGGTCAGTGGCTGCAGCACCAGGGAGGAAGGAAAGTCTGAGGAAGAAGTGCTTACCCCGCTGCTGCATGGGGCACTGCCCTGTGGCAGATGGGACCACACTCCATAGTCAGATAAGCTTAACGGAGGAAGTGGAGGGGACCACAGATCCAGGACTACGTTGTACGCACTGCCCAGACATGGACCCAGATAAGGGCTTGCATGTGGGCAGGGACAGACCCTCAGCTCTCTGGCTATCACAGACTCGGCTATGCCTGATGTTTTATAGACATCTGTCCCTCGCTGAGGAAGGAGTTGGGGTCTGGCCCAGTATCATTGTGGCTTTATTTTTAAATTACGTTATTTATGTTTTGGGCCGTGCGCCTCCCAGAGCCAGATGCCTCCTCCCAGCACTATGGCTAGCGTACGGGTCCTTCCTGAGCTAGACAGAATGAGCTTTCCACCTTTGTAAAGCCCTTCCTGTTGTTATCTCATGCTGCATGTGCTGCGTGTCCATCTCCCTGCTCTGAGCCCTCCCAGTCTGCGCAAGGCAGGAGGCGCTGGGATGCAGGGGGACTGGATGGCTGGGATGGGCAAGGATCTGTTTTAATTATCAAGGCCTAGTGAAGATGGCAAGGTCTTCCCAGAATAAAGAGAGGAGCGTGTGCTCCTAAATGGTTGGCCACACCGGGATCCTTTAGATGGGGGAGATGTGTGAAGTGCCTGTGCGTGGAGCTGAACCGCATGGTCCAAGCGTTAGGCACAAGAGCTGTACAGATCAAAGCCTGCCTTCCACCAGCCATACGGCACTCGTGCTTGATTTCTTTTGAACAGCTAGGTTCCTCAGTCTGCTTTCTCTCTCTAGCCCTGACACAGAGAGAGAGGAAAAATAATAGATGGGGGAAATTCAGGGGGCTCTTCTCCTTAGCCCCCGGTCGAAGAGCTGACCAGTTGTCAATTTGACATAACTGTCATGGAGCTATTTACATGGCATGAGAGCCTGTGTCGGATGCTACTCCCGCCTCTGAACGCACACCGCCGCCCTCCCCATTACCACCATGCACATCCCCGCATTTAAAATGCATACAGCACAGTATTGGAGCAGAAAAACCCGAGAGAGAACAATCGACTGGCCATCACGCAGCTTTGCCAGCCCCTACATATTCGGTTACGCCAGAACCCCCCACCTTTTTCACAGCACCCTCCATTAAAAGTCATCATCCTCAGTTTCCTCTAAGCCAGCCGGCTAACAGCACTGCACGTACGAGATGAAACAGGAAGCCTGACAACTTTAGCCTGCAGGGAGACCTCTAGTGTTTTTCTTACTCTATGTCCTGGCATAGCTCCTCTAAAGTACAAACACACACAGAGCTCCCATTGTTTGCAGCCCTTCACAAGCCCACTGATCCTAATATGGAATTCAGCAGGAAACCCATGATTTCCTGACACACAGCAAGCTGGGGAAAGAAAGGAAAAACTCCATTAAAAACCTCTAGCTTTCCTCCATGTTAGAAATGCAATGGAAAATGGAGTGGATTTAAACAGGAATCCCTCTGCCCAAGCCGGAGAGGGAAAGAAGAACTTCACAGCCTCCGACTGCTGACGTTTTTCAAGTCGCAATAAATAGCAAAATCTCAGGGTCAGCATGAGGATTTCCTGACTCCAGCTAACAAGAGAGGACAATCCTTTTTATTTTTAATTAATATATCTATGAATATTTAATGTAGTTATCTCAATGGTTCTAATTACTGATCGGGGCACTGTTAGAGGCGGCTCTCCTAGCCTGGAAACATTAGTATGATTTCCTGAGTTTGAGAACCCCCCCCCAAACTCAGGAACAGTCAGTACAATCACACTTCATTTTTCCTTCATGTGCACTTGGAAGTATCAGCAGCCGCAGCCGGAGCAGAAGCAGCAAGAATGAACTGCAAGGAGGAAGATGAGAACAGCACGAATGGCAGCAGCGATAACAGGAAAAAGATGTTAAAGTGCGTGGTGGTTGGGGATGGTGCAGTGGGGAAAACCTGCTTGTTAATGAGTTATGCCAACGATGCCTTCCCAGAAGAGTATGTGCCTACCGTCTTTGACCACTATGCAGGTAAGAAAGCACTTTTCAAAAAAACATGCAATTGGGGGTAGAAAGGGGTAGGAGGGATGAAGGGTAGAGGAGAACAGTTCAAAGGGGATGTAGAGGTTACTTCTCATCCAGGGCTGTGGTTCAGGTCTGGAAAGTATCCAGCCAGCGTAAAGGGCAGTTCATACAATTGGGGCAATGAAGGATTTGTCCAGAGGGAACTTGTTTGCTTGTTTTCAGTATCTATCTTGTGTTTGGCAAATAAGAAGAGGTAGCAACACTGTCGGAATGAAAACCTGCTGAGCTCAAAAGACAACAGACACAGCTCAGCATTCGTGTAAATACTTGCTGGGTCCGTTTGTTTGCTAACTTCTGCATTTGGGAACTTTCCCAACCATAAATCTGACACGTGCATTTTATCAGCTGTCTTTTTTCCTTGTGGCAAATGATTCATAAGTTGAAACAGTTAAATCCTTTTTAGGAACTAATCTTTGGGAAAACCACTGAGCTCATGTCCAGTGTAACTGGAATGAAATTCACTCTGTTTCCATAGCACAAGAAATTACTTTTAGCAGCTGTGTGTAATGTTGTAATGCGATGGCAAGCAAAGCCACAGTACTGACTGATTTTAGTGTTTTATGCTAAATGAGCTTCAGAACAAAAAACCCCAGAAACTTTACCAGCATGTAGCAAAGATCATAGGTGCTCACACAGGGCAAAACTAACACGGTTGGATTAAGAAGACCACCGATCAGGTTCAGTACTCACAGACCTCTTTTACTGTAGCAATTGTGTACGACTTTTTCAGGTGCTTTTAAAGTCAGTGCATGTATGGGGCAATAGGCTGAAAACGCATTCAAACGTTGCTTAAACTCTCTTAAGTGTGGCTTTTCCTCATAATGTTTTTGTCACTGATAAAGTGCTTTTTTCTTTTGGTTGTTAATATGATCCCTCAAAAGCAGATTCTGTAAGCACTGCAAAACACATCGCATATCTTACAGCAGTCGACTTCTCCCCATTCCACTTTCAGGCTGAATTTGCATGGCGTGGCTTATCATAGATTTGCTTCTCTGTAATAGGAAAATCTCTGCTTCCACCTTGGCTTCGTGTCAGGTTTAGCAGAGTATAATGGCCAAACAAGAAAACTGTGTAATTGCTAAGACTGATGCATGGTAACATGAAGACCTCTTCCCCTCATAAGAGTGAGTAGTAGCTTCATTCGTACAGGCAAACAGCAGTATGCTCTTTCTACCCCTTCCCACCACTTATTTCAAAGGATCAGTTTTAAAAAGTCTTCATATAGCAAATGTGTTTGTATAGAAAAAATAATAAAGATATATAAAAACAACATATATTCCCATACAAAATATTTTACAAATTCAGATGCTGAAGAATTACAAGCCCCAGTTACTTTTTTATTGGAACTTTTAAGAACCATAGGTACAAAGGAAAGCATTAATACTAAGAAAGACCAGAAAGATAAGGAAACAAAATACTTCAGATATTAATAACCTATTCAGGGACAAATCCTCTCTGAACACAGTTGTTAAAACCTCGGGCCATTCAGAAATCAGAATGTTCATTCCATAGAAAATTCCAACATTTTAAAATTTGTTCTTACTATAAATCTCCATAAAAAGTTGAAACGTTGAATATCGAGTATATGTTGAATATACTAAAAACACCAAAAATGAACAGAAACAATAAAGTTGAAAGGAAACATTTTGACCTATTAAAACAACAGGTGGAAACAACATGCCAACCTTCGCATGTAAAAAACCCCGTTGAAATCAACACAGGGCTGCAAAATGTTTTGATTTTGACAAAAACATTTTTTTCATTTAACAAAAATGCTAGCTTTATTAAAATAGCGAAGCATTAGCAACATATTCTTCTCATCTCATAAGGTCATGACCCGACTGGAAGTCCCAGAATATTTACTGATTTCCTTCTTTCTTAGAGAAAAGAGCATTCAAGTAAAGGAATTCAATTCTGATCACAGACATTGTAAAGCCATCAACTTCAAGGACAATGTGCAGAAAATCCAATCATGGAAAAATGCAGAAAATCATGGATTTTCTCCTTTAAAGAAAAACAGGGGCTGCAAGGGGCTGCTTAGGGCTCGGGGGAATGGGAGGAGACCAGGCAGCCAGGGGGCACCAAGTCCATGTGCACACACACACACAAACACATGGCAGCCAGGTAATACGTATAGCAGCTCCCACAGCCAGTGGCGATGCATAGGGGTGCATGCACGTGCAGGTGCACCCCCTGAGATCAGCCATGCACCCCCTGGAAACCCAGCCACAAAACTGGAAGTACCAGTCGAAATGTACTTCCAGTTTCACTGCTGGCTTGGCGATCAGCCGCTGGGGGACCCCCTCATTGGCGATCTGGTGCCCCCCCAGACTCGGGAGGTACTAGCCGCCCATGCCTACAGCTCCCCACAGGTAAGTCTATGGGGTGAGGGGGCATAGACAATGCATCAGGAGGGTGGGGAGCACAGGTGATGTGCTGGAGGAGAATGGGGGGAGGCACATACCCCCCAAATTTGTGTGCCCACAGTGGGGATGGGGCTGCAATCTGGCCACACTACCACAGGCAGGAACTGCCTCCGTGGCCCAGCAGGCAGGACCCAGCACAGGAGGATGGAGTGGGGAGCACTGCAGCCATGACCCCCGCACCAGCCGCACTGCCAGCAGCATGCAATGTAATGGATTGGGAGGCCATGCTGGCCTCACCTCCTCCTGCCACCTGCCACAGGTGAGGTGGGGTTATGGGCAGCCTGAGGGGAGCAGCGGTGGCAAGTGGGTCATGGTGGGGGAGAGCTATGGCCCAGCACACCAAGTGGCTGGTAGTAGGAAGAGGTGAGGGCAGCATGCCCCCCCATTCGTTACTCCTGGTGCTGCTGGTGATGCGGCTGGCACAGGGATCCTGGCAGCAGCAGAAACAGCAATGAGTCTTGCTGCCCTGCACCAGGTCCTGCCCACTGGGCTGCAGAGGTGGTGCAGGCTGCTGCCCTGTGCCTGCTGTGGTTGCACAAACTGGGAGGTGGGGGGCATGCCACCATGCCCTCCACACACACACACATCCTGCTCCACACTCCCACCTCCTGCCCCACACACTGGGGGGCTTGGGCCTGGGAGTGGGGGGCACCAGCAGGGCTGGGGGAGTAGGGTGTTGTGGCTTGGGAATGAGGGGCACCAGCACAGCTGGGGGGCTGCGAGTCAGGAGTGAGGGGCACTGGCAATTTGCATTGTGCAAGTTGCACAATGATGAATGTCACTTGGGAGTAATGGAGGGCCACATGTTGATATTGCTGTTAATATTGTCCTGTTGATGTTGATTTCTGTCTTTAAAATTAAGATTGTTGAGCTGCTTTAACTTGTAATGTGCAATAAATATTTGGGGGCCAAAATACTCATCTGTTTTCTACTTAAACTATTTCCTGAGTCAGGACTGGCTACCAATGTTTAAATAGGGATCCTGGTAGAAAAAAAGGTTGAGAACCACTGCAATAGAGCACCAGCCAGTACAAAATACAGGCCCCACTCCTCCAATATAGTCAAAAGCAAACCTAACATTGGCTTCAGCACACAAGAAAAGGCCCTCTACAGATGGTCACTAGGCCTGTGTGAAGCAGCTAGTATTTGATTGCTGCCAGGCAAACAGGGGGATTCCCCACTGCCCCACGCTGTGTGGGGCAGGGGCTCTGCCATGAGCCCCCAAAACCCTGAAGCAGCCGGTGAGTGGGGGCTTTTTTTTTTTTTTTTTTTTTTAAGAAACTCAAGCAGGGGGCAGGCAGGACAGCCATAGGGG